TTCATTTTATTTTGGTCACTAACCCTGGATAATATGTTGATTAGTTACATTACTTACATTGATTTACTTTTTAAAATATTAAAATGAATCAAAATGAATTACATTGAGGTGCTTTGTATTTAGATTTGTCATGACTTCATATGAATTGTGATGTATCAGCAAAGTAGAAGAATGAAGTGTTGTTTGGAAAATGAGCACAGGCCATGTCATATTGCAGTAATTTTAAGTCTTGGTATTTCTTTTTCTTTCTTCACAGCTTCCACAGCCTCAACAGGCACTGCTTTCTCAGGTAATGTTCAAAAACTCATAAATCTGCCATATATTTATACATATTGTCATTTCAAAGATGCTAATCCAGTCGTTAAATTACTGATTTAATCAAAGATCTAATACATACGTGTTTTTTTCTCAGTGCATGTCCATTTACACATACGTATTATGTTGCATACATCGAGTTAGAGGGAGACTATCTGTGTTAGCCCGCTTTTCTTCATTCTCTGTTTATGATTATTTGTTCTCACATTAAAAACCATAGTGCTGTAAAATACTACTAGAACAGCATTCCAAGGCCAAACAAAGTTTAAAATACTTCTTTCTTCTCACTTTTCTATCTGAGCAGCCATAAAGCAACCCTGCTGTGTAGGTTTTCCTTCACCTTATTTGTATATCTCTCCAGTTCTTTGCAAATACTGATATTTTTCTCAAAGTAGAAGAAGCACACTCAGTCTCATCTGTTTACATCCTAGCTTCTGAAGCTGAAACTTAGGCCCGATGTTTCCATAGCTGACCAGTATTTTTGCCCTTTTGATTTCTGATGGTTATTTTCCAGTTTTCTTTAGGGCCTTGTTTATTTTATCTTCAGGAGAAAAAGCCCAGTTTTGATTTGCTATCAGAAAGTCTCCGTTTGTATTCTCACTGACCTTGAGGTTCCATGGTATTTATCAATTACTTTTTAACATGCAGCCTTTTTTCTTTCCTTGACTCTCAGCCCCCCGTCGCCTTGCCCACCAGCCTAAGCCTGTCCAACCCGCAGCAGACAGCCCAGATTACCGTGTCCTACCCAACGCCACGTTCAAGCCACCAACAGCAGACGCAGCCACAGAAGCAACGAGTCTTTACTGGTGTCGTCAACAAGCTGCATGACACATTTGGCTTTGTAGATGAAGATGTCTTCTTTCAGCTAAGGTGAAAGAGAGTATGGTCCTTGGGATCTTTGTTTCTTGTGCAAACAAGTGTGTTGGTTAGGCCATCATTCGGCTCCCATAACAAACAGTTCCAGAGGATACATGTGACCTGTTCAGAGATGCTTGAATGCTTTTTTTTTTTGTGTGTATTTTTTTTAGTGCTGTGAAGGGGAAGACTCCTCAGGTGGGTGACAGGGTCCTAGTGGAAGCAGTGTACAATCCGAACATGCCCTTCAAGTGGAACGCCCAGCGCATCCAGACCTTACCTCAGCTAGCAAACCAGTCGGTGAGAACACTCATAGGTTGCTTTGTTGCCCAGGAGTGGATAACACTGTTGGGCACATTAACACAAACTGGGGGTTTTTGCTTCAACTTGTATTCCCTTCATAACTTATGGTATCACTATAGTCACAGTCAGTGCAGTCTATCTTCATTCATTGTTTTAAATCTGATTCATAAATGTGAAGACACATACTTTGTTTGGCTTTTTGATCATAAATTCATACTTGCTATTTAATGATATTCACATGATTTTTTTCCACAGTCCCACTAATAATGGGGACAAATGTGATGATTCCAAAAGTAATAGTCCTAGAATAGTCAAAGATAGGAAACATTTTCTCTTTTTCTCTCTTGCTCTGAACTTTTTATTTGTTTGCATCAGTTAACATCATTAAATCAGCCATTATTATTCTTATTTATCTGAATAAACATTAAACACTTGCTGACATGCCTCTGTGACAAAGGCTATGTGGTGAAAATGATGACGTATCTGTTTTCATTTTTTGATTTTTTTTAAAAGTGAGATCCACAGGTTGATTTTAAATTCTGGACAGTTCACCTGGCTTAGTCTGAGGAGAGTCCAAATGTGTTCAAGTGTTATGTTATTTTTTTTCTTTCAGATTTGATCTTTCCCCTGTACCTCTCTGTCGTTTATTGACTGTTGTGTTCTTAATCCCTCCTAGCATCAGCAGCAGCCTCAGCCTTTACCTCAAGCTTCCCCACAGCTCGGCAGCCTTTACAATGAGCCAGGAATGCAGCTGCGCTACTCAGACATGCACTCTGCGGACAACAGACAAAATGTAACCCCCTAGCCCTAAACACACACTTGTTTTGGTCCTTCTCTCTACTCAGTTTCACACTTTTTGCTTTCTTTGCTGGCTGTTTTGCTAAACCTATTAATGGTGAACACCTATGTTTAACTGCAGTTTTTGCCTAATCTTTTAGTTTGCTGTTGTTGCCAAGAACCACATTTTATAGCGGTTTAACAATACCTGTCTTTACTTTAAAGAGCGTTAATTTGTCTTACAGAGATACTATTTTTCTACTATTGTCTCATACATTTTTGAATGTTCTTTTTGTGGTAGATTACAGCCTTGTTTTTACCACGGTTTATATATGTTTGTTTGGAAAACAAACTAATGTTGCTTGAGGTGTTACTTTTGTTTCAGAGGTGTTTTCAGACTTTGGGCTCCTTAATATTTAAATCGGCAAATCTCTCTACAGGAAACATTGCAGATGACAGGGTCTTCAAGAAAAGCTGCTATAAATAATACCCTTTAACATATTTTAAGTAATGATCATGAAAATACCTTAAAGATGTTGCGTGTGATCTTTGGTATAAAAATTTGTATCACTCAAACCAGTCCGTCACCAACTGAGATATATATGTTTATAATGACATTTATAGTTGAGTTAATATTTCTGAACGTGGGGGCAGTGTGAGCCGGTGGCCAGATTGAATCTCAGCACCATAATTTCCATTGAAAGTGCTGAGCATGATGGTGAACTTAATGACTAAATACATAAAATATCCTGAGAATATGCCGCTCAGTCATAAATGTTGTTACAGCATCAAGTGATTCATTAGGTATAACTGGTCATACTTTCTTATGGTCTTAATTACCATAATACACCAGACATGAAACTACCCACCCTCCTCTCACTCAAAAAAAATAACTTTAAAGGTCCCGTGTGTAGAAATTAGTGGCATCTAGCGGCGTGGTTGCAGACTACAACCAACTGGTTACCCCTCGCCTCACCCTACCCTTCCAAGCTTGAAGAAACTATAAAAAACACAGTAGGCCCGATCTACAGCCAGTGTTTGGTTTGTCCCTCCATCCCTATGAAGATGTAAATGGCTCATTCAAATGCAACAAAAACACTTATTTTATTATTTTCAAGTCAATATACACAAATTAAAACATACCTACGGATATGATACTCCATTTCTGCCACAATCAGCTCATAGATCCCCCTAAATCTTACATGCTGGACCTCTAACAGTTACCTTAAAACAACATGGAAAAGAACATGAAATACTGCTAATGTGATCCAGTATTGACCCCCAACTCAAGCACAGGAGATGGCTAAACATTCTTGTTAATATTAACTTCACACTCAGTCATACATCAGCAGTGTGACTACTATGCAAGGAAGATCAGATAATCTCATATGAGACAATGTATACGTTTTATAAGAAAATTCTTAAACACAATACTACATATATATAATACAGTTTACTGATATCTTGGAGAATGTACCTTTAATCATCATCCTCTGTTGGTAAATGGTGCCTTTTTATTTTCTTCAAGTTTGATAAACTTTTATAAAAGTTTGTTTTTTCTTCAAACAGGTCAAAACTTGGATTATTAGTATTGTTAGATTCAACTTGCTGTGTCCTGTAGCAAAACTAAACTGAACCAGAGCAGCCCTCTGGGTTGAGATTCTGTTTCACACCAGGTATTCTTTCATTAGGACACCTGATAAGATTTCTACAATTCTTTCATTCAAGCAGACATTCAGACCCTTTCCAAGATTCTTTCTTTCAAGCAGCCACTGACCCAAGTTTTTGTACAGTTCATCTTGTTACTTGTTGAGCAGTCATTGACATAGCTGAAGATTGTTTGTGTCTTCAAACATTTGCTCACTCTCTTTTTCCCTTTTTCTTCCTTTTCCTTTTTCTGCTTCTCTCTAGAACCAGCCTCAACCTCCTAACATGATGAAGGCAGCCCCCAACATACTGCAGTCGTTACCTCCCCCAAACACATTCAGTGTTCCGAACCAGGCTCCCCCTCCTTCCCTCCTGCAGGCCCAGCTGTCCGCTGCCTCTCTGGCTCCTCTCCTCCAAAACCCTCCTCAGCCTCTGCTGCCACAGCCTCCACCCAAAGGTGAAATGCTTGACAGTGAAATAAAATGAA